GGGGAGAGGGTTGGTTAATGCAGTTTTGTGGATGAAGGTACAAATGTGGATGAAGAAGATGAAATGCAAAGACGATTTGGGAGTTATCAAAAAAAAATTGCACCAGTGGTGGTTGTGGAAGGTGGGGGATGGGTTGGCAGCAGCAGCGACAAGCAAGTGCTGAGAGAGATTTTTTTTGCTGTTCTAATTGTCTCTTTCTTCTGTTTTCTCTTATTTTTATCATTGTCTTCCAATCACATTGCTTTCCATATTGGAAAGTAACATTTTGGTCTTTTAAGAACGACAGCAGTCCATCATTGTTAGGTGCCATGTCAGAAAATCCTTTTGGTTTTATTGATGGATGAAAATAGTGACCATCTTTAAAACAAAATGAAAGTTAGATGACCTGACTGAGAAAATTTGAAGTTTCGTTTTTTAACTGGTCTCAACCTTACGTTCTAGAGTTCTGCTTGAACTTGGGGACTTAAAATAATCAATGAACTCCGGAGTGTCCAATTTACTAGAAATTTATTCAATATGGATGTTGTTGCATATTCAGGGAATGGTGATAAATCCAAAGCAGGAGGAGATAATCTAAAAGGAAGCAATCCAGAAAGTAATGCATCTAACGACTCCAACTCCCAGAAGTCCAATCGAAAACCGTTGGACTGGAGAGAGTTCAGGGCATCTCTTTACATTCAGGAGCAGGTACTATCATTCTTTCCTGAATTTTTGCTTCAGTATGGTTGATGGATCTATGGTCCTAGAATGTTGCTGAAACTGTAGATTTTGCAATAACTTTAGCAATTGAATCATGGTATTTCTTGTCCAACCTTACCTAATCTGTGTGGAGATGATCAAAATATGACTTGATTGAACCTTGAATTATTTTTAAAGAAAAGTTCCCCTAGTTTATGGTTATTGGATACTTCAAATTTTGACCAAAACTGAACCTTACATAATCTGCAATACTGCAACTAGTGGTGTCATGTTTTAGTTTCAGACTGCATTCGGGTACTGTGGATGGACTATTTCTCACTAAATTCAAGCAGATTTTGTCTAAAACTACCTGATGCAGTACGTGGGTTTGCTTTTAAGTGAAATTCAATGAAAAGAAGATATCTATCTTCTTATAAATCAAATTAGGGATCGTAATTAATCTGGTCAATATTTATCCCACATCCTCACTCGTTACTTTTACGTGATCTAGCTAAAAAGTTCGACTAAATTAAAGTGACTCTGGCACGAGTAGCTCAGTCATCATTGCTTATTCTTACTATTAAGTCTAATGTTTGGTACAGTTTGTAAATAATCAGTAGGTCCTATGGATAAAAGTAGATAAAAGTTTTCAAAAAACTATTTGTCTTATGCCTCGAATCCTGCCTCAGGTGGGGCTATCATAAAACGCCTCAAAGTCTGCACCTTAAAAGCCATTTGTAAGGCTTACGCCTTGATTTACCGAGGCTTACACCTAAAACCTGGACCTCAAGCAAATTAAGCTGTTCCTGAGTTTGCCTTGCATTTTTTAAATATTTAATCTGGTCACTACTTATGCTTCAAAATGTCTCGAGACTTATGCTTTGCCTCGGTGATAAAATGCCTTAGTACTCGGTTAAGCCTTTTTAAACATTGATGGGTCCTTCAATAATGTTTTACTAGCTTATAAGCTTGGAAAAGCACTCCCAAACATGATTTAAATGACTTGTGGGAAGAGTAGTCCTCTTTTCCAATTTGACTTTAGATTAATAAAAATGCTGTAATGTTGTTGGAATCTGTCAATAATGCACTTTAATATATGTTTCAATCACCTCTCTTCGTCAATCTTATTTGATGGGCATGTAATTAGGTGATATAGTTTGGTAGTTATGCTATTTAGGAAGTGATAGGGATGTCACTATTTAGAGAAGGTGAAATGTCTCCACCACTTGTCGTTTTTAAAATAATGTAAATATTTTAAACTTTTAGACGAATATACACTTCTCTCTTCAAAAGTGTTACCAAATCTTCCTATTCATTTTTGCGTGTATTTCGAACCATCTAGACATTCTCGTCAAACTAGACAAAGTTGACGAGGATGTACATTTAGACTCTGATGCTCGGACTTTTCGAAATAGTTGAAGTACCCGTGTCAGACATGACACGACACGACACGACATGGGTGTGAGTATGAAATATGTGTCGGATCCTCCAAGTTTCAACCGAACACTTCGTCGTTTTTGCTTCTTGTTCCTTCTTTTTCTTCTTCTTTTTTTCTTTTCCTTTTGTTTCCCTTTTCTTTTTTCCCACTTTTGTTCTCTATAAACCTAGCGTCACTGAGAGGGTGGAGAAAGGCGGCGGTGCTAGGCTTTACCTTCTTTTTCTTCCTCTTTCTTTTTTCTTTCCATTTTCTTCTTTTTTTTGCTTCTCTCTCTCTGTATCGGTGGTTTAGGGTATGAGTTTTATATAGTGCTACTAGTGCTCCACTAAGTCCAAATTACAATCAAGTTCCTCATTTTCTAGTTTATATAACATTTAGTAATTCTCATAATTGAAAACTAAATTCCGAAATTCTATTTTCTTTGTCTTAACCCCTTATTAAATACTAATTTCCTTCATTGTGAATAATTTGTTTTGGTCTATTCAAAATGATATCCTGGATTAGTAAAAAAATTGAAGTTTGAAAGACGTACACGTATTTGAAATTTGAACTTTTTTTAGCTATATTCTCATATCCTACATTTTAGAATATAAAAGATCTGACACTTAGATACATACCCATACTCGAGTCCGAGTATCATAGCATTTAGACACATTTACTATTCCTTTCTGTACAGATTTCGAACCATTTAAGCATTGTCATTAAATTAGGTAAAGTTGATGAGAATGCCTAATCTATTTGAACAGTCTTCACTTTTACGAATTTTGAACCATCTATGCCCTCTAGTTAAACTAAGCAAAAATTAACTAGAGTTATTAGGTCATGTTTATTTTTTACAGTACTTGGTCTAATTAAAAGAGATTTTTTAGAAAACTTGTTTAATGTAGCTTCCTGAGAGCTCTTTTACGAAAAATGAAGCAGAAGGTATCCTAGACGGGCCTTTAGTCCAGACACTTCATTGTCAACTTTGCCTAAATTTGCCCAGAGGACATTTTAATAGAAGGAAACTACAAACATTTTGCAGGACTAAATGTCCATATTTAATAAAAATTTTGGCCAGAGAGAAATTCTATTTTTACTACAAAATAGTACAATAATTAGAAAATTTTCTCATTTAGGAATGTGAAATCTTTCTGATTGTACCAGTACCCTTGTATGACATTGCTTTTAAGTAATAGGATTTCTCGTGTAATGTTAATGGCAGGCTGAAACTATGGTCTCTGATGCACTCGAGCAAGACAAGGCAGCTCCGAGGTCGAAAGCTCTTCCCCTCAAGTGGGCCCACCCAATTTCAGCTCCCGAGAATGGTTGTCTCCTCGTTGCAACAGAAAAGCTCGATGGTGTTCGCACTTTTGAGAGAACCGTTGTTCTCCTCCTCAGATCTGGAATGCAGAACCCACTAGAGGGACCATTTGGGGTTGTCATAAATCGATCACTTCACAAAAGGATGAAACATATGAATCCTACAAATATCAATCTGGCTACAACATTTGCTGATTGTTCCTTGCATTTCGGTGGACCCCTAGAGTCGAGTATGTTTTTGTTAAAAGCATTTGAAGTTACAGGACTTAACGGTTTCGAAGAGGTGATCCCCGGCGTGTGTTTTGGCTCTCGAAACAAATTGGATGCTGCTTCGGCATTGGTGAAGAAGGGCATACTCGGGCCCCATGATTTCAGGTTCTTTGTCGGATATGCCGGATGGCAGTTGGATCAATTGAGTGACGAGATTGAATCAGGCTATTGGCATGTTGCCGCATGTAGTGCAAACTTGGTTTTTGAAGTTTCAGAAAATTCTTCCCCAGACAGTTTGTGGGAAGAGATTCTTCAGCTAATGGGTGGTCAGTACTCGGAGTTGAGCCGCAAACCTAAGCAGGATCTCTAGTTATCTCCGAGCCAGAGAACATAAAATGTTAATGGGAGGTTGTTGGACTCAGAATGTACAGTATTATCTAACATAGAGTTATGTTTAGTACAGGTTTTTTTTCTTTCTTTTTCTATTTTCTAAATAAGTTTGCTATTTATGCATGTAGATGAGAAGTTACGCTTGGTAACATTTGATGAAAGCTGCAGTTAGTTCTTGAAAGATATTTATTCGAAATGAGATGCATCCGTGGTTAGGAAAGCCCCACTTCCTCATTTGAACCCCGGTCGTCTAGTCAGAAGTTTTCATAGTCGGTGAAGCTGCTGGTCCTGATGGAGTACCTGCAGCATCATCGACCATCTTCTCTCCCCGTTTTGGTCCACCTCGTGTACTGCACGTGCCTGCTGGACGATATTTGATGGATATGTTGTCCTCGGTGGCATCTTTTAAGCTTCCCATTGCACCATAGATGGTACCCCTTGCTGCAATTCCCCTATCCAATCAAGAAAAAAGCAACTTTGTGATTCGAGCTTAAACACCGTCACAATCGACATATGAGAAAGGAAGACTCGCCTGTCATCTGCTGTTTCCTAGTCTGCAGCAGCCCTCTGTTTGGCCTCGTACGCCCTCCTCAAGTTTCTAGTCTGCCATCTTCTGTCTTGCATTCTCCTTCTAGCGATATTCCTTTCAGAGAAGAGAGAGGTTTCTTATCAAACTAAACATGAAATCTAGTGCTCAAACGCATTTAGGGGATGCTAATACACAGTAAAGTATTGCATGGGACAAAACATTCATCTCATTTTCATTTCTTAATATTCCTATCTAGTACTGTTCAAGCGAGCGCAACAAACATGCCATTACAGTTTATATCAGCAATGAAAAACGCCAAATCTCCACGATATCTACCATTACCTTGCTCTTCACATCACTCAAAAATAAAGGAATACGAAGCAAGTTTTAAAGAGTACAGGAACTCACCTCAGCCATTTAGCCACTCTCAAGTGCTCTTCGTTCAGCTTCCTCTTTCCAACCAATAAAGAAATCCCTAGCAGTAGCAGCAGCAACAGCAGTATCCTTCAACTCGGTCATTTTATCAGCAGCGACATCTGTTTCTTGAACTACCATTTCTTTCGTCTTTTTAACTTTTTCAGCAGCAGTCTTTGCATTCATCCACTTTCTTTGTTGCAACCTTGGCCTTCTCTATGTCATGGTTTTCATTGGGGGGTTTATGGGAACTTGATCCCACATCGAATGTATGGGCTGAAAATGTGGGATTTATAACCCTTTGGGCACCCTCCCCTTATCAGCTAGCTTTTGAGGGTGATTTCTACCCAATGGGTTATGACAATAGTATCAGAGCAGGCACATGTCTTTAGGTCTCGATTACCACTTAGGTGTATGGGCACCTGCTCGACGTGGATGCCAAGTCGAAAGCGTGGTGGTTTGTCATGTTTCCATTGGGGGTTTATGGGAACCTGATCTCACATCGGATGTATGGGTTGAAAATGTGGGGTTTATAATGTTAAGGGATATATATCCCACATCGATAAATGATGTTGACACATACCAATTAATAAAGATTTTGGGCTACTCCTCTTAATAAGATTGACCTTTTAAAATGGAACCATAATTCTTAACATGGTATCAGAGCCCATTATGCTCCCACGNTGAGCACGTGAATTTTAAGATTGGTATGCTCAAATGAACCACCATCTTGCGGGGGCGTGTTAAGGGATATATATCCCACATCGATAAATAATGTTGACACGGACCAATTAATAAAGATCTTGGGCTACTCCTCTTAATAAGGTTGACATTTTAAAATGGAATCTCAATTCTTAACATGGGCACCCTCCCCTTATCAGCTAGCTTTTGAGGGTGAGTTTTACCTAAGGGATTATGACACTCTACAGAAGCGCCTATATATTCGCTTGCTTTTTCCTCCACGGTATCCTTCATCTCCTTGGCTTTCTCTGCAGCATAATCCTTGTACTCACCCATTTTCTCCATAGTGGCATCTTTGGCTTGCCTTACCTTCTCAGCAGCAGAATCCTTCATCTCTTTAGTCATGTCTATGGCATAGTCACCCGTTTTGCCCATTGCAGAGTCCTTTGTATCTTTTGCCTTTTGCATTGTGTAATCTTTGCTCTGTTGTCCCCTCTCAGCCGCAGTATCAGCAACTCCACGAGTTGTCCATTCATTTGTACTTCCCCTGCTGTAGCTACATCTGTACTTCCCCGAGTTTTCTTGGTATGTCGTGATTTTTGCTAACTAATGATAATGATTCATTGACATAATCATACGTATCTTCGACTGGCTTCAATATGCTTCTAAATATTCCATTACTTGTTTGTGGGGTTTAAATTAGCCTGTCAAAGTCTCTAATTTTCACTTTAAATTTTCAACATATGCATATTTTTACAATCGCCTTTTGGGTGTTAAAAAGATAAAGATGCCCTTAAATATGTTATACAATTATAAAATATTGTTTTAAAAGACAATACTACTCTTTTAGTTAATAAATAAAAACTAATTTTTTTAAAAAAAAATTCAAAATCTGCTACTTGTTCTTATCTGTTTATTCCAACACAAATAAAAATTATCTCATTTTTCATTTGTTTCAACCTCAAAATTTCAAAAATTTATCAAACACTGAAGAAAATATTTTTTTATAGCTTTCATTTCGAATCGGTAAATATATTTAGGTATGTTTAATTTCGTTTTTGTTAAATTAGTATACTTTTTTAATTGATAAATCTTATTTCAACATATATTAACATGTAGATAAATTTTTCTTAACAGATCTATAATTTTTTAAAATATAAACAAGAAAAAAATATCATTTGTATGTATATTCTTTCAGATGAGATTCATAACAATGTACAAATGAGTGATATATGTGCTAGTATTCCGATTTTCATAACATTGAGTACATTATATGCGGAAATGAAGAAACAATTAATAATAAATCAAATCAAATAAAGATCAAAAGAAAAATAAAAATAAAAAATAAATTAAAGAAAATTATTAAAATATACAAATTAAAACATGAATAATAAAAAGTATTTTAAATTTAAAAAATTATAATAGGAAGAAAATAATTAAAATAATTTAACATTATTAAACAAAATGAAACTATAAAAATTAAATAAAAATAAAAATATTATTTAAAATTGATAAAAGCAAATTATAATAAAAAGAAAAAAAATTGATTAAGCAGTAAAAAAAATCGGCCAAAAAAGGCCGGCTCGGTAAGTCCGGTTAAGTTGGGCTGACTATTAACAGTCTACTTAAAATATTCGGTTGGGCCGACGAATCAAACGCCGATGGTTAAACAGTCACTCGACCACCGTCTTCTCAGACCATTTCACTTTGTAAAATAGCGAGGATCGTCGAAAATTGCGATATCCGCCCAAGAAATCGCCAAAACTAACATAACTAATGCTTGTTGACAATATAAATAGCCAAAACTAACAAATAATAATAATAATAATAATAATAATAATAATAATAATAATAATAATAATAAATGTTAAATTTAATCTAAACCATATTCATCAATCCATAATCCACAAAAAATTAACCTTGTTGAAAATAGCGTTGTCGGTGACTGGGTTGTGTGATAGTCGGTGTTGGGTTGACTGTGGGTGGTGGGGTTGACTGTGCAGACTAGATCTTGACTGGGGAGATTTTTCAAAATAGCCTAGTTAACAATAGTATTGTGATCTATTGTTAAAAATACTATTTTGCCCTTACTTTTTATATTTGTAAAAATTTCCTGTATTTTTTAGTTGGTAGGTCGTTCAGGGTTATATCTTATAATTCTTCCGTTTGGACATAGGTTCTTAGAACTAATCTTAGGAATCTTAGATCAGTATTTTCTTGTAACAAATCAAGTATTGTTGTTGCTTGAATTGGTGATATCTTATAGTTCTTAGGATCTTATCCCACTTTTCT